TTTGGTAGAAGAGTGGAACAATCTTTGACTGTACATGTATGGATATGATACTGTGCTGCTTTGAAGCATTGTTGAGATCGTTCTCGTAGTGAGCTTATATTTGTAATAGAGAAGTGATTAGGTAATAGTGCTTTGCATGTATGAGCTAACTTGAGTGCAATTTCGTGCTTAATGGTATAAGGTGGAACTGAATTAAAGGAAGACAGAATCTTTGAATAATCAAGTTCAGTAAAGAGAGTTTTAGTGAATTCTTTGAGTAGTGCTTCCAGTGTGGAGTGAAGAATACTAAAAGGAATGATAATGGCTTCATTAATATCAGGGTTGTTTTCACGGATGAAATTAATGAGGAACTGAGGTCTTAATCCAGCCATTTTTTTAATTAGGTAGGAGTATGTAAATCTAAGTTCTTTAGAATTTTCTGTTGCCGGTTTGATAACTTTACCAGGATAAATATCAATAAGATGAGGTCTAATAAATTCAAAGAGTTGGTATGCGAGTGTGTTATCAAATCTGGTATAAAGTTTCATAGTATCTGTAATAGGATATTTCTGAAACCAATCAAGATCATTAGAGGTATTGCATTTTTGTTTGTGTTCTGGTTCTTTTTGTTTATGTTTTTGATTTAGATTTTGTTCTTGTTCTTGGTTTTGGTTATGTTTGTGTTGTTGTTCTTGTTCAAGGGTATTAGATTTTTTAGGAAGTAGTGTTAAAGCCTTTTTAAGGAGAGTGATTTTGCTTTGTTTAGGCATAAAGTATAGTTTTAAAATAAAAGCTATACTTCTTTGTTGGTGGTTCATTGGAGTAGCAGGAGTACCGAATTTGAGCTTCATATTTGGAATATATAACATGCATTCTCTATGAATTAATCGGTTTTTAAAAAGACCAGCTATAGTATAGTCAGGTGCATGATTTGCTTGATTTGTAGATACACAGGGAAGGTTTTTAGTTCTGCAAAAAACCCAGGTATGATAGTGTTGTAAGTATGGAATAATAGTTGTAGGGTTAGGGTCAGTTTGGATAGTTTAGAAATTAGGAAAGAGGATACGTGGATTGGCTTGTTGGTGTTCAGCATGTGTTTGTTCTTTTGTATTTGGTGATTTTGGCAATGCTTCGCTTTTTTGTAATTGATTTTTAGAGATGCTATCGATAAAGATTGTAGGTTGTCTAATAGCTGTATGTTGATTATGTAAAATTTAATAGTTTTCTGAGGTAAAACTAGTGTGATATTTATCACAAAAGCATTTACCAATAGAAGGTTGGAGAGATACTTGAAAGAAATGTTGTTTTTTACTTAAATCGCAAGCTTCTGGTTTGAAGGCTAATGGAAGAACTCGAAGTGAACTAATTTTCTTTCTAGGGTCCCTAGGCCATAACGATCATGGTAGTTTTTATAATAGTAATCAAGGTTGTAAGAATCTGGCTCTTCTGTGATAAGTTTAGGCATAATGTTAAATTTAGAGATTTACAAGTTTCTGTTTGGGGGTGTGACAAATAAGAGGTGTGATGAATAAGAGAGTGTAACAAATAAGATGAGGTAATAAATAAGGGTGTGACAGATAGGGTGTTACCCAGTGTAACAATCTGCAGATTGACAGGATTGTCGAGAGTAAAATTTGTGTAAATTTAATTAAAACCAAAATAGTAATGAGGCATTTTTGTAAGGATATTTTTAACTTAAGCTACTGGCTATAAATAACCACTGATTATATTTAATCACTAACCATTAAATATTTATAATTGGTGGTTAAATATAATCAGTGGTTATTAATAACCACTGATTATATTTAACCACCAATTATAAATATTTAATGGTTAGATATAATCAATGGTTATTGATAACCACTAATTAAAATAACTAATATTTTAATAATACTATAACTTAACTACTCTAACATTGCATAATAGCAATAAGATTTTAAGATTGTTATACTATAGAGTTTAAGTATACACAGTATTTAAAGTAGCAGTACCTTATTTAAACTAAGAAATTAAATTCAAATTACGCCTAATTCTGCAATTAAATTGGTTGTGCAGATTTTGAGATATTCTTGACAGTTCTGGATTGTTACAAAAATTTCATTCCTGTGATTCCTAAGCTGATTTTTATAAAAAGTAGATATAAACTTTTCACTAGTTAAAACCAATGAATCTTATAGAAAGTGAGATTATTTTATTTTTTGTATTAAACTTTTCATAATGATAATACTTTGATAGGATTAACAACCTGGGCCTAAGTTATAAGAGAAGGCCAACAAATTTTTGTAATATGACTATGATACTTTTCCGGAATACATATAATGCAGAAAATTTAAATGCTTAATAAGAATCCTAATATAATCGAAACTTTTATCAGTAATATTTAATATCAATAAGCAAGTTCAATAATTACAATTTTATTGTTACAAGAGAAAGTTTATATGTTATCCTTTGCTATGCAAAGGATATCTGTGCTTCCGCTACGGCTGTCGCCTCTGCTTCAGCATTTTTTACTATAGCCTACATTGCATTAAAATTATAAATCAATATTCACCCTAACCCTAACTATCGATTGCCCTAATTATAATCCCAATATTCACCCTAACCCTAACTATCGATTGCCCTAATTATAATCCCAATATTTACCCTAACTCTAACTATCAATTATCTAATTATAATTCCAATCTTCACTAATCAGATCTTAACAAATTGCAAGAACGAATATTATGTCCTTTAATGTGACAATTTGAACAGATGTAATTTTGTTTAGGATTTCCTTCAAGATTTAATTGTTCGTTATTTGATTGATTTGAATTCACATTAATCAGATTTAAAGGTTGTCTCCTATTTGATTCCAAATAACTTTTTTGTCTTTTACTTGGATGACCTTTGGGTGTTATAATCGTTGGATTAGTAATCTGAATAGCGTTTTCTTAATCAGTATATTTGTCATCTACTTTAGAATTTGCTTTTTGCAATTCTTTTTTTTGTTGAATAAATTGACTACACAATTGATCTAATTCTTTATTAGTTCCGGTTTCTATTGCTAATGATAATGCAGTTTGTAATAATCTATAACTTTTGCCATAACAGATATGATCCTGAAAAAACTTTTTGGTTGATGTTTTAAATTCTGAAACTTTTTTAATTTGACTAAGTTGCTCAAAGCGATTAAATATGATAGGTTGATCAGATTGATCAGATTGATTTGGTAAAATATATTCATTGAACATATTGTTATTAGAATAAATTACTAGAACGTTTGAAATAATATCATCTAATTCATCAAGGTATAAATCTTTATACCATCGTTGCATTATTAATGAAATTTAAAATATAGCTATACGTGATTCTAATAGAATAGCAAAATAGTGTTGGCATACTATTCCACAGCTAACAGGCCAAGTACAAGTGCATAAATAGAAACTATCTTTAAATAAAATAATATAGTGTACATTTGTTGATTCTACAATTCTGACAATATGCCATACTTCTTGAATATTATTACGTGGAATACTATTTAAAAGTTCATTTAAATGTATTTGTTGTGAATCGTAATTGTCTTCGATACATATATTTGTAGATTCAGATTCATTAGCACAATGTTCTTGTAATATATTAAATGGATAACATCGGTACCAAAGTGTCTGCTGCATTTGTTATTTAATTTTAGCTATTATATGGAGGGTAAGATATTTTTCGCATAAAGTAACAATCTCTGGAAATAAAGTTCTGCTTATTGATTGCATTCTTCCGGTATTATGATCAAAATTAATAGAATTCTGAGAGCAGCTATACATGCTTTCTTTATCAAGGTGCTCTTGAATTGTTTTATACAAAGTAATAAGTGAGGAGGACTAACACTTGCTTTAATAAGATGGTTGTGACTTTCTACACATTGGGTGCTTTGAATACCAGCATTGAATACTTGTGAAGTAAAACAACGGGCCCAACTATGCTTTGACCGATACATTCGCTTTAAATATGATTCCATTTTTGGATAAGCTTTAATTAATTGATCAAAACAAATTTCAAAAATAAATGATTGTAATACATTACATGCAATATAAAATTTGTCATAAATTGATTATATTGTTGTGCCTCAAGCTTTGAATGAACCTTTTTTTTGACATTATTATTAATGTAAAACACACAAAGATGATGTTGTGCTGATGGAAAGATCTTAGAAATCGCAGCGGCCATTGCAGGGTCTGAATCAGTGAAAATAACTCCAGGTTCGTACATAGAATTTCCTTTTTGACAACATTTAAAAAGCCAAATAAAAGTGTCCAAAGACTCATCAAGTAGTAATGCTTAGGCCACCAATCTGCTTTTAGTATGGTTATCAACTACAATTACTAATGCTAATGGTCGTCGATATCGATTGGTTTTACTAGTAGTATCTAGCAAACAAACATCACCAAATCTTGATAATAGTTGAACTTGCTCGTCGGATTATCAAAAAAGGCCCATCAATTCATTGTCAATATCACCAATGATAGGTTCAACTATATAGCCAAGTTCTGATTTTTGTTGTTGTAAGAGATAATACAATAAATCAGATGCATCATTTTTAAGGCTTTGACTTGTATCTTTGAGTTTACTTATTAAATTATAAATACGTTGTGGTTTAATAGGATGATTAGGATATTCATTTTCAAGTAAATGAATTATTTTATTAGGTTGAACATGATACTGATAATATAATTCAACTTTATTAATCATCTTTTCAGTTAATCGTTGGTATTTTGGTGCATTATTTTTAATGTCAGGGTCCATAGAATGATTATGAATTGAATCATCATCAATTAAAGAGCATTGAATAGTTGATGCTGTGTTGCCTATTGAGAAATTACAATGCTATTTGCAATTCATGACAGTTGCACGACGATTACGTTGGTCATCAAGATCAATTTTTTTTTTAAGCTGCCACTGTCCAGACTGATGACATACCCAAGTAGCATTCCAAACAGTTCCATCTTCACGTGTATAGGTATGACCTTTTCTGACTGCAAATCCACGTTCTATAGCATACCTATCAAGTTTTCTTCCAATCTGTTCAAAGATATTAAATGAATTATTTACTTTGATATAAAATGAATATTTATGTTGACTATCCATATTACAATCAAGGGTTTCATTTTCACTACTAGAATCTGATGATTCAAATGAATTTTCATAAAGTTCATCATATGAGTATCCTTCGCATTGAATTTCTGAAGGTAATAAGGGAAAATCTTCATCCAATCTGTTTGATTCTGAGGAGTGATTGCTTGGATATTGACTCTAAAAGAAAAAATGTCTCTAAACTATTAATAACATTTGATACTATTTTTTAATATTAACATTAACTAAGCTTTTCTACCAACCTGATAAAGATCTAAGTTAATATCTTTAGAAAAATCCAACATATCAGAAGGAAGCTGACGGGCCTTAAAAGGCAATAAATTAGTATAACATTCAATACAATTTTCAATTAAACTAACTTCAATAAATTAACTCACC